GGGGAGGGGGCAGGAGGGGACGGGAGGGGACAGCGGGGACGGGAGGTGGCACCTGGAGGTGGCACCTGGCAGGGGCGGGCCTGGGGGGGGGACAGGGAGGTGACAAACGTCACCTGGAGGCCACCAAGGGGGACAGGGAGGTGACAGAGTGACCTGGAGGGGTCACCTGGGACCCCCCGATGGGGACAGGGAGGTGACAGAGTGACCTGAAGACCCCTGGGGGGGACAGGGAGGTGACAAAGTCACCTGGAGGCCACCAAGGGGGACAGGGAGGTGACAAACGTCACCTGGAGGCCACCAAGGGGCACAAAGAGGTGACAAGAGCCACCTGGGACCCCCTGATGGGGACAGGGAGGTGACAAGGTGACACCTCAGAGAGTGGGGGGGCCCTCAGATCTGTGGGGAGGGGACACGGGGACAGAAATGACACACGGACCTTCCTGGGGGGGGGACAGGGGACAGGGGACAGGGGACGGGGACACGGCGGTGGCTTCTCCAAAGGGGCGCAGATGGCACCGGGACCCTCCTGGGGACCCTCAGCGAGGGGTTGGGGACACCTCAGGGGTCACAGGTGCCACCAGGGCAGGGCTGGGACATCCCCAGAGGGACAGAGGTCCCCGCGGACACCCGGGAGGGGACAAGGACACCGTGAAAGGGACAAAGGACACCTTGAAGGTGACACTGAACCTTCCTTGGCAAGGGGAAGGGGACAAGGACACCTTCCAGGGCAGGGCTGGGACATCCCCAGAGGGACAGAGGTCCCCGCGGACACCCGGGAGGGGACAAGGACACCGTGAAAGGGACAAAGGACACCTTGAAGGTGACACTGAGCCTTCCCTGGCAAGGGGAAGGGGACAAGGACACCTTCAAAGGGACAGAAATCCTGGGTGATGACACCTCTGAGGTGACAAGGACACCACAAAAGGCTCCTTGGGGACAGGGACACCTTCAAAGGGACAGAAATCCCCTTGGAGGGGACAGGGACACCACGAGAGGGACAAAGGTCCCCGTGGACACCCAGGAGGGGACAAGGACACCATGAGAGGCTCCTTGGGGACGGGGACACCACGAGAGGGACAGAAATCCTGGAGGGACACCTTGAAGGTGACACTGAACCTTCTCTGGCAGTGGGAAGGGGACAAGGACACCACGAGAGGGACAAAAGTCCCCGTGGACACCCGGGAGGGGACAAGGACGCCATGAGAGGTTCCTTGGGGACGGGGACACCTCCAGAGGGACAAAAATCCTGGAGGGACACCTTGAAGGTGACACTGAACCTTCTCTGGCAGTGGGAAGGGGACAAGGACACCACGAGAGGGACAAAAGTCCCCGTGGACACCCGGGAGGGGACAAGGACACTGTGAAAGGGACAAAGGACACCTTGAAGGTGACACTGAGCCTTCTCTGGCAGTGGGAAGGGGACAGGGACATCTCCAGAGGGACAAAGACCCTGGAGGGACACCTTGAAGGTGACACAAACTCCTCGGGTCCCCGTGGACACCTGGGAGGTGACAGGGACATCTCCAGAGGGACAGAGATCCCCTTGGAGGGGACAGGGACACCACGAGAGGGACAAAAGTCCCCTGTGGACACCTGGGAGGTGACAAGGACACCACGAGTGGCCCCTGGGGACAGGGGCACCTTCAAAGGGACAGAAATCCTGGGTGATGACACCTCTGAGGTGACAAGGACACCACGAGTGGCCCCTGGGGACAGGGACGTCCCCTCCAGGTGACAGCACCGGGACCAAACCACCACAGCAACTCGGGACCCTCAGCACGGCCACCTCCTCCAGGCGCCAAAACCCCCCCGGAAAAAAAACCCCAAAAAAACCCCAAAAACCCCAAAAACCCCTCCCGACCTCCCCCACCCCCCCCAAAACTCGTCGCGCCCGCGCCGGGGCCGCGCCCGGGGCGCTCTGCCGGGGGCGGCGGGCGGGGGTCCCGCGAAGCCCCCGCCCAGCGCGGGGGGCGCGGAGTAGCTGGGCCCGGGCAGGTCGTAGGGGTCGAGGGCCGGGGGAGGGGGCTGCGCCATGGCCGCCCCCGGCGCCACCGAGGAGATGAGGGTGGGCTGCACCAGCCACTGCAGGTCCTGGCTGGTGGTGATGGCCGTCACCGTGGGCACGAAGGAGCCGGGCATGTCCCCCAGGGCGCTGCACTCCTGGGGACACGGGGGGACACAAAAGGGACACGGGTTAGAGAGGTGACAGTGATGGTGACACGGCTGGGGACACGAAGGGACACGGGTTAGAGCAATGACACCCCTGGGGACATCCCTGTCACCTCCCCCGGGTCAGGAGTGTGACACCGCCTGTGTCCCCCAGGGCGCTGCACTCCTGGGGACACACAGGGGACATGGGGGGACACCGGTTAGAGAGGTGACAGTAATGGGGACACGGCTGGGGACATCCCTGTCACCTCCCCGCGTCCCCCAGGGCGCTGCACTCCTGGGGACACGGGGGACACGGGGGGACACGGGTTAGAGAGGTGACAGTAATGGGGACACGGCTGGGGACATCCCTGTCACCTCCCCGCGTCCCCCAGGGCGCTGCACTCCTGGGGACACGGGGGACACATGTCAGAGAGGGGACAGCAATGGGGACACGGCTGGGGACACGGGGGGATCTCCTCCCCCCGCGAAGGGAGGGGGTGGGGGGAGACCCCCAAAAAGGGGGGTGGGACCCCCGAAGAGCCGCGGGGATGAGGAGGGTGGGGAAGGGTCCCCAAAGTGGGAGAGGGGCCCCAAAACTGGGCAGGGACCTCCCAAACTGGGAGAGGAGCTCCCAAACTGGGAGATTCCCCCCCCCCAAACTGGGAAAGGAGCCCCCAAACTGGGAGAGGAGCACCCAAACTGGGAAATTCCCCCCCCCCAAACTGGGAAATGCCCCCCCAAACTGGGAGATTCCCCCCCCCAAACTGGGAGCCCCCCAGTTCCTCGCCCCGAGCTCCCTCTGCCGCTCACCGGCGGAACTGCAGCCGGGCGGGGGGCGTGGCTTTAGGAGGGCGTGGCCTCAGTCCCCACCCATTTTCCCCTTGATTGACAGCTGGGTGAGGCGACGTCCCCGCTGTCCCCACGAACGTGTCCCCGCGGGCTTTGTGTCCCCAAAAGCTCCGTGTCCCCAATGTCCCCAATGTCCGCGGGGGGCGGTGGGGACCCCCCGTTCACAACGCGAGGAGCGAGGGAGAGCTCAGGGAGTCCGAGGACTGGTCGCTGCCGCTGCTCCGCTGGTGCGAGGCTCCACACGTGGCTCCCTCTGGGTGGGTGAACACAAACGCGGGGGTCGCGTTAGGGGGTCCGGGCGGGGGGCAGCAGCCGGGGAAGGGGCCCTGGAACGGCGCCGGGGGCAGCAGAGGCGCGGGGCCCGCCCGGCCCGGGCTGCTCACCTCGGCGGGGCCGGCGGGGGGGGCGGCGGGGGGGGGGGGGGCGCCCGAGGGGGCCCGGGGGCCGCAGCCGGGGAAGGGGCCCTGGAACGGCGCCGGGGGCAGCAGAGGCGCGGGGCCCGCCCGGCCCGGGCTGCTCACCTCGGCGGGGGCGGCGGCGGGGGCGGCGATGTCGCCGAAGGGGACCTTGCAGGCGGGGGCGTGCGCCACCAGCACGAACTCCAGGCGCTCCTTCTCCTTGCGCAGCTCGGCGATCTCCGACTCCAGCTCCGCCTTCTCCTCCTCCAGCTGGTCCGTCTCCTGCGGGCACCGCGGCGTCAGCGCGGGCGGCGGCACCCGGGTGGCACCCGAGTGGCACCGAGTGTCCCCCGAGTGTCCCCAAGGTGGTTCTGGCACTGCCGTGTCCCTGAGTGTCCCCCGAGTGGCACCGAGTGTCCCCCGAGTGTCCCCAAGGTGGTTCTGGCACTCCTGTGTCTCTCTGGCTCTCTGTCTGTCCCTGGGTGTCCCCCGAGTGGCACTGAGTGTCCCCCGAGTGGCACCGAGTGGCACCAAGTGTCCCTGAGTGTCCCCTGAGTGGCACTGTCTGTCCCTGAGTGTCCCCCGAGTGTCCCCGGGGTCGCTGTGGCACTCCCATGTGGCTGGGTGTCTGTCCAGTTCCCTGTCTGTCTGTCCTTGGGTGTCCCCGAGTGTCCCCCGAGTGTCCCTGAGTGTCCCCTGAGTGGCACTGACTGTCCCTGAGTGTCCCCCGAGTGGCACTCAGTGTCCCCCGAGTGTCCCTGAGTGTCCCCTGAGTGGCACTGTCTGTCCCTGAGTGTCCCCCGAGTGTCCCCGGGGTCGCTGTGGCACTCCCATGTGGCTGGGTGTCTGTCCAGTTCCCTGTCTGTCTGTCCCTGGGTGTCCCCCGAGTGGCACCGAGTGTCCCCTGAGTGGCACTGTCTGTCCCCAAGGTGGTTGTGGTACTGCCGTGTCCCTGCGTGTCTGTCCCCGGGTGGCACCGAGTGTCCCCAAGGTGGTTCTGGCACTGCCATGTGGCTGGGTGTCCGTCTGGTTCCCTGTCTGTCCGTCCCTGGGTGTCTTTGAGTGTCCCCCGAGTGTCCCCAAGTGTTCCTGGGTGTCCCCCGGGTAGCACTGAGTGTCCCCCGAGTGTCCCTGAGTGTCCCCGGGGTGGTTGTGGCACTCTCTTGTCTGTCTGGCTCTCTGTCTGTCTGTCCCTGAGTGTCCCCAAGGTGGCTCCGAGTGGCACCGAGTGTCCCCCGAGTGTCCCCAAGGTGGCTGTGCACTGCCGTGCCCATCTGCTTCTCTGTCCGTCTGTCCCCGAGTGTCCCCGAGTGTCCCCGGGGTGGTTCTGGCACTGCCGTGTCTGTCTGTCTGTCCCCGAGTGTCCCCGAAGTGGTTCTGGCACTCCCATGTCTGTCTGGCTCCCTGTCTGTCTGTCCCCGAGTGTCCCCGGGGTGCCTGTGGCACTGCCGTGTCCGTCTGGCTCCCTGTCTGTCTGTCCCCGAGTGTCCCCGGGGTGCCTGTGGCACTGCCGTGTCCGTCTGGCTCCCTGTCTGTCTGTCTGTCCCCGAGTGTCCCCGAGTGTCCCCGGGGTGGTTCTGGCACTGCCGTGTCTGTCTGGCTCCCTGTCTGTCTGTCCCCAAGTGTCCCCAAGGTGGCTCCGAGTGGCACCGAGTGTCCCCCGAGTGTTCCCGGGGTGGTTCTGGCACTGCCGTGTCCGTCTGGCTCCCTGTCTGTCTGTCCCCGAGTGTCCCCGGGGTGCCTGTGGCACTGCCGTGTCCGTCTGGCTCCCTGTCTGTCTGTCTGTCCCCGAGTGTCCCCTGGATGTCCCCTGGGTGGCCACGAATGTCCCAGGGTGTCCCCAAGGTGGCTGTGGCACTGCCGTGTCCCTGCGTGTCTGTCTGGCTCCCTGTCTGTTTGTCCCCAGGTGGCACTGAGTGTCCCCCGAGTAGCACTGACTGTCCCTGAGTGCCCCCCGAGTGTCCCCAAGGTGGCTGTGGCACTGCCATGCCCATCTGGCTCTCTGTCCGTCTGTCCCCAAGCGTCACCTGAGTGTCCCCAGGGTCGTTGTGGCACTGCCGTGTTCGTATGGCTCCCTGTCTGTCCGTCCCTGTCTGTCTGTCCCTGGGTGTCCCCAAGCCTGGGGACATCCCGCAGGCTCCTCCAGCGTCCCTGAGTGTCCGTCTGTCCCCTCTCTTGTCCCCTGTCCCCATGGGTGGCACTGTCCTCGCCCTGTCCCCTCTGCTGTCCCCAAGTTTGGGGACATCCCCGAGTGTCCGTCTGTCTGTCCCCAGCTCTCAGGGGTGCCACTGTCCCCTCTGGTGTCCCCAGGGATGTCATTGTCCCTTACAGGGCCTGGGGACACGGGAGAGCAGCAGCGCCACCTTCCTCATCACCATCATCATCCTCCTCAGCAGCCGCGGGGACACCGCTGTCCCCTCCCGATGTCCCCAACTCCTGTCACTTGTCCCCAACTCTGCCACTTGTCCCCAACTGCCAGGACATCGCCACCACGTGGGGACATCGCTGTCCCCTCCCGATGTCCCCAACTCCTGTCACTTGTCCCCAGCCCTGAGGACATTGCCACCATCACTGGTGACACCGCTGTCCCTTCCTGATGTCCCCAACTCCTGTCACTTGTCCCCAACTGCCAGGACATCGCCACCATCACTGGTGACATCGCTGTCCCTTCCTGATGTCCCCAACTCTGAGGACACCACGTAGGGACACTGCTGTCCCCTCCCGATGTCCCCAACTCCTGTCACTTGTCCCCACCTGAGGACACCGCTGTCCCTTCCTGACGACCCCAACTCCGAGGACATTGCCACCATCACTGGGGACATCGCTGTCCCCTCCTGATGTCCCCAACTGCCAGGACACTGCATGGGAACTCCCCTGTCCTCTCCTGATGTCCCCAACTCCGAGGACATCGCCACCACTGTCCCCTCCTAATGTCCCCAACTCCTGTCACTTGTCCTGACCTGAGGACATCGCAGTCACCTCCTGATGTCCCCAACTGCCAGGACACTGCCACCATCACTGGGGACACCGCTGTCCCCAACTCCCAGGACGTTGCCACCGCGTGGGGACACCGCTGTCCCTTCCTGATGTCCCCAGCCCCGAGGACATTGCCACCATCACTGGGGACATCGCGGTCTTTGGGGACAATGCCACCCCCCGGAGAAGATGCTACCCCAGGGGACAATGCCACCCCATGTCCCCAACTCCTGTCACTTGTCCCCACCTGAGGACATTGCCACCATCACTGGGGACAATGCCATCCTTGGGGACAATGCCACCCCCGGGGACAGTGCCACCCCCCGGGACGACGTCCCCGGTGTCCCCGGTGTCACTCACCGCCTGCAGCCGGTCCGTCAGCTCGCGCCGCCGGTTGCGGCACTTGGCCGCCGCCAGCTTGTTCCGCTCCCGCCGCACGCGGCGCTTCTCCTCCTCCTCGGGCGTCAGCTGCGGGGACAGGGGACAGCGGTGTCACCCGCGGCCACCCCCGGCGGCCCCCGGTACCCCCCGAGAGCCCCCGGCAGCCCCCGGCCCCCGAGCCCCGCTGGCCAAAGGCAGCCAGGGGTGTCCCCGAGGTGACACCGCACGGGGTGGCACCAAGGCTCTTTCTGCTCATGGTGTCCCCAAGGTGCCACCAGATTGGATGGCACTGAAAATGTCACCACTCCTGGTGTCACCAAGGTGTCACTGCCTTGGGTGGACCTGAAAATGTCACCAGAGCTGCGGGGACAGGGGACAGCGGTGTCACCCGCGGCCCCCCCCGGCGGCCCCCGGTACCCCCCGAGAGCCCCCGGCAGCCCCCGGCCCCCGAGCCCCGCTGGCCAAAGGCAGCCAGGGGTGTCCCCGAGGTGACACCGCACGGGGTGGCACCGAAAATGTCACCAATGTGTCCCTAAAGTGCCACCGCCTGGGGTGGCCCTGAGGCTCCTCTCTCTCATGGTGTCCCCAAGGTGCCACCGCATGACTGAAAGTGTCACCAATGTGTCCCTAAAGTGCCACCGCCTGGGGTGGCCCTGAGGCTCCTGTCTCTCATGGTGTCCCCAAGGTGCCACTGCCTTGGGTGGCCCACAAAATGTCACCACTCATGGTGTCCCCGCCTGGGGTGGCCCTGAGGCTCCTCTCTCTCATGGTGTCCCCAAGGTGCCACCGCATGACTGAAAGTGTCACCAATGTGTCCCTAAAGTGCCACCGCCTGGGGTGGTCCTCAAAATGTCACCACTCATGGTGCCACCAAGGTGCCACCACCTGGCCCAAGGTGTCACCACAGGGAGTGGCCCTCAAGCTCCTTGATGTCCCCAGCTTCCCTCCGTGTCCCCAAGGTGGCACCGCCTGGGCCGTCCCTCAATCTCCTGCCACTTCCACGCCCCCAAACTCCCCCTGCCACATCCCCAAAGCGACGCCACCCTCTGTCCCCCCTGTCCCTTCTGTCCCCTCTGTCCCCCTCTCTCTGTCTGTCTCTCTGTCCCCTCTGTCCCCTCTGTCCCCCCTCTCTCTGTCTCTCTGTCCCCTCATTCCCTCTGTGTCCCTCTGTCCCCACTCTGTCCCCCCTGTCCCTTCTGTCCCCTTTGTCCCCACTGTCCCCTCTGTCCCCCCTCTCTCTGTCTGTCTCTCTGTCCTCTCTGTCCCTGCTGTCCTTTCTGTCCTCTCTGTCCCCTCTGTCCCTCCTGTGTCCCCTCTGTCCTTCCTGTGTCCCCTGGGTCCCCCTGTCCCCTCTGTCCCCTCTGTCCCTTCTATCCTGTCTGTCCCCTCATCCCCTCTGTGTCCCCCACTGTCCCTCACTTCTGGGCACCACCCTCTGTCCCCCCTGTCCCTTCTGTCCCCTCTGTCCCCCCTCTCTCTGTCTCTCTGTCCCCTCATTCCCTCTGTGTCCCTCTGTCCCCACTCTGTCCCCCCTGTCCCTTCTGTCCCCTTTGTCCCCACTGTCCCCTCTGTCCCCCCTCTCTCTGTCTGTCTCTCTGTCCTCTCTGTCCCTGCTGTCCTTTCTGTCCTCTCTGTCCCCTCTGTCCCTCCTGTGTCCCCTCTGTCCTTCCTGTGTCCCCTGGGTCCCCCTGTCCCCTCTGTCCCCTCTGTCCCTTCTATCCTGTCTGTCCCCTCATCCCCTCTGTGTCCCCCACTGTCCCTCACTGTCCCCATTGTCCCCTGTCCCCTCTGTCTCTCACCGCCTGGGGTGGTCCTCAAAATGTCACCACTCATGGTGCCACCAAGGTGCCACCACCTGGCCCAAGGTGTCACCACAGGGAGTGGCCCTCAAGCTCCTTGATGTCCCCAGCTTCCCTCCGTGTCCCCAAGGTGGCACCGCCTGGGCCGTCCCTCAATCTCCTGCCACTTCCACGCCCCCAAACTCCCCCTGCCACATCCCCAAAGCGACGCCACCCTCTGTCCCCCCTGTCCCTTCTGTCCCCTCTGTCCCCCTCTCTCTGTCTGTCTCTCTGTCCCCTCTGTCCCCTCTGTCCATGCTGTCCCTTCTATCCTCTCTGTCCCTCTGTCCTGCCTGTGTGTCCCCCTGTCCGTCTGTCCCCTCTGTCCCCTCATCCCTGCTGTCCTCTCTGTCCTCATCCCCTCTGTGTTCTCACGTCCCCTCACTGTCCCCAATGTCCCCTGGTGTCCCCAGTGTGACCCTGTGTCCCCACTGTCCCCCTGTCCCCTCTGTGTCCCCTCATTCCTCTGTCCCCTCATCCCTGCTGTCCTTTCTGTCCTCTCTGTCCCCTCTGTCCCTTCTATCCTGTCTGTCCCCTCATCCCCTCTGTGTCCCCCACTGTCCCTCACTGTCCCCATTGTCCCCTGTCCCCTCTGTCTCTCTGTCCCCTCTGTCCCCCACTGTCCCCCCATTATCCCCTCTGTCCTTCCTGTGTCCCCTGTGTCCCCCAGTCAGCAGCCCCACGGCCACCACGTGTCCCTGTGTCCCTCCCATGTCCCTCTGTCCCTCTGTCCCCCCTGTGTCCCTCTGTCCCTCTGTCTCTCTGTCCCCTCATCCCCTCTATGTCCCCCTGTCCCCCCATTGTCCCCCTATCCCCCTCTGCCCTTCTGTCCCTCCTGTGTCCCCTCTGTGCCCTCTATCCTCTCTGTCCCTCCTGTGTCCCCTGCGTCCCCTCATCCCCTCTCTGTCCCCCTGTCCCCTCTGTGTCCCCCTGTCCCCATTGTCCCCATTGTCCCCTCATCCCTGCTGTCCCCTCTGTCCCTGCTGTCCTTTCTATCCCCTCTGTCCCCTCATCCCCTCTGTGTCCCCCCTGTCCCAAATGTCCCCCCCCTGTTCCAAATGTCCCCCGTGTCCCCCCTGACGCCTGTGTCCCCCAGGGCGCTGCACTCCTGGGGACACACAGGGGACATGGGGGGACACGGGTTAGAGAGGGGACATTGATGGGGACATCCCTGTCCCCTCCCCCGGGTCAGGAGTGTGACACCGCCTGTGTCCCCCAGGGCGCTGCACTCCTGGGGACACACAGGGGACATGGGGGGACACCGGTTAGAGAGGTGACAGCAATGGGGACATCCCTGTCACCTCCCCCGGGTCAGGAGTGTGCGGTGTGCCCCAGGGCGCTGCACTCCTGGGGACACACAGGGGACACGGGTTAGAGAGGGGACACTGATGGGGACACGGCTGGGGACACGAGGGGACACGGGTTAGAGAGGGGACATTGATGGGGACACGGGTTAGAGAGGGGACAGCGATGGTGACACCGCTGGGGACACCCCTGGGGACATCCCTGTCCCCTCCCCCGTGTCCCCCAGGGCGCTGCACTCCTGGGGACACGGGGGACACGACGGGACACCGGTTAGAGAGGGGACACCGCTGGGGACACGGCTGGGGACACCCTTGGGGACATCCCTGTCCCCTCCTGGGTCCCTGTCACCCGTCCCTGTCACCCAATAATGGCACTCTCCTGTCCCTGTCACCCAAAGGTGACACCCTGGGTCCTTGTCACCCCCTAATGGCACTCTCCTGTCCCTGTCACCCCCTAGTGACGCTGTCCTGTCCCTGTCACCCAAAGGTGACACCCTGGGTCCCTGTCACCCAAAGGTGACACCCTCGTGTCCCTGTCACCCAAAGGTGACACCCTGGGTCCCTGTCACCCAAAGGTGACACCCTAGGTCCCTGTCACAACGGGTGACACCCTGGGTCCTTGTCACTGCCACCCTTTGGTGACACCGCCACCCTTTGGTGACACCGCCACCCTTTGGGGACCCCCGAGCCCCCAAATCCTTGCGGGGGGGCGTGGCCACGGCTCAGAGGAGGCGTGTCCGCCAGCCACGTGGGCGTGGCCTCCAGCTTGCGTGGGCGTGGCTTCCCGCCGAAAGGGGCGTGTCCAACCCAAGGAGGGGGCGTGGCCTCGCCGGGGGGGGTCTCCCTGGCAACGCCGCGCGCGCGGGGGGGGG